GTCCGATGTCCAATAAGGACATCCTTGTTACGTCCAATTTATGTCCACGGACGTAAATCGGACATACGGATATAAATTGGACGTGAAACGTACATCCATTGGATGTCCGATGTTGTCTGGGTGTATACTTAATATTTTTAGAAATCTCAAATTCAAATTATTTCCGTTTTTAAGATATATATTATGCACATAACATAAGTTTTTATAAGTAAAACTTATCAAATTATTTTTTTTAAGATATATATGTACATAAACTTTTAAAAGTAAAAGTTATATCGTGTTATAAAAATTTAACACGTTTGTTAATAGTGTCCAATATTAACAAAAATATCTTTTTAAAGGTTATTGTTATTCAAGTAAAACCTAGCTATAAAAAATGTCCATAACATAAATTTTTACAAGTAAAATTTATCATTATTTATTAGAACACTGAGTTATATGGTTATTTTACTTGTTATTGTAACAAATTAATTATTATAACAATGCAATAAAAAATATTTAATACAAAAAATCTTAGCGCGACTGCACCAAAAACTATGTCGAACTAAAACTTGATTAATACATACATGACAACATTTTTATTATAATATTAGCTGTACAAATGAATAATCCAATTTTTTCAGATATATTCAAGGTTTACTTTAAAAGAAAGTAAATTAAATTTTTCAATCAAAGTATTCGCCGTTGCTTTCTATAACTTTAAGCCATCTTTCAGACAGCTGATGAATTCCATCTCGGAAAAATGTTACATGATTTTTTCTTTCGACAACGATGCGTTTAATCGAAAAATCGCAAGAGAGCATTCGTATTCAAAATTTGACATAGAATATGATCATATTTTTGCAACTATAAAATTTTCAGTTTTGATGTTTCATCCGCCATATTGGATCCGCCATGTTGAATTCTCAAAAAGGCCACACGGCTAATGAATGTCTGTATCACAAAGAGTATTTAGAATCCCGGAAACATTTTTTTGTTAAAACCAATCGTGGAGAAAAGGAATAATTCTAAATTTTTCCCCTTGTTCCGCGTTTGCTGGCGCCATTCTGAGTCCGCCATTAAGAATTTCCGAAAAGGCTGCACGACTAATGAAAGTAGACATTATAAAGAGAATTTTCAGCCCCAGAAAAAATTTTTTGGTTGAAACCAAACTTGGCGAGAAAGAGTGGTCGGTTTCGCAAAGAATGCCCCATATATGAGGATGGTCCGATAAGTACTTAGCCTACAAAAGAAAAACGAAAATTTTGGAAAAGTGGCGATTTATTTCTCAACATAGTCTCCTTTTAGCTCGATACACTTGACCCAGCGATGCTCCAACTTCTTTAACCCGTCTGAAAAATACGTTTTCTCGAGGTCTGCAAAGTAGGTCTCCGTGGCGGCGATGACCTCCTCATTCGACTCAAATTTCTGCCCGGCGAGTGACTTTTTCAAGTTTGGAAACAAAAAGAAGTCGCACGGGGCCAAATCTGGAGAATACGGTGGATGGGGCAGCAGTTCGTAGCCCAATTCGACCAATTTGACCGTGGCGAGGGCGGAGGTGTGAGCCGATGCGTTGTCATGGTGGAAGAGCACTTTTTTCTTCGCCAAATGGGGCCGTTTTTTCTGCAATTCGGCGTCGAATCGGCCCAATAATTCGGCATAGTACAGCCCTGTGACCGTTTTGCCCTTCTCCAGGTAGTCGATGTAGATCACACCTTGTGAATCCCAGAAAACGGTGGCCATCACCTTTCCGGCCGATAGGACAGTCTTCGCCTTCTTCGGAGCACGTTCGCCGGGTGAAGTCCACTGTTTCGACTGTTCCTTGGTCTCTGGTGTGTACCAGTGGATCCATGTTTCGTCGACGGTCACGAAACGACGCAGAAACTCCTTCGGATTGCACTTAAACAGCGTCAAACACTGCTCTGAAGTGGTCTCACGGTTGCGCTTGTTGTCCGGAGTGAGCAAACGCGGCACCCATCGCGCCGACAGCTTTCTCATGCCCAAAATTTCATGCAGGATATGACCCACGCGGTCTTTTGAGATGCCTACTGTCTCAGCTATCTCGCGCACCTTCAATCGGCGGTCTGCCAGTACGAGATCGTGGATTTTTGTCATGTTATCCTCCGTGGTAGCCGTTTTCGGGGCACCTGGGCGTGGCTCATCAAAAACCGACGTGCGACCACGTTGAAACTCGTTAAACCAATTTTTGACGGTCGCTATCGAAGGAGAAGAGTCACCGTACACAGCATCCAAACGCTCTTTGATTTCGCTGCGCGATTTCCCTTCCAAAAACAAGAATCGAATCACCGACCGATATTGCTCTTTTTCCATTTTTCTAAAATCCGCGGACACGCCCGCTTCCACACGCGGTCAAAACAAAACTACGAGTCCGATTCGGCTGAAATTTCGACGGTAGCCGTCTACGAGAATGTACTACACGATAGTAAATTTCTCTTGCGATAGTGGCGCCATCGGGCGGTGGGGCTAAGTACTTATCGGATCGCCCTCATATGTGTTATAATTTTGACTTATTAATAGTTACAATACTACTGCGATTGCTGTTTAACATAATATCTATACTATAATATGTGAGTCTAACTAATAATTTGCAATTATGATATCTTACGTAATACAACTGTTTGCTAATTTCTACAGATATCTTGTGGATATCAAATGACAAAAATACTTCAATATATTATGACAATATTCAAATATACGCTCTTTATTATATTTTTATAACAAAATATAACATTGACGTAATTGTTACATTTCGTTTTAGATGTAATAAAAAGCGGACGGTTAAGATCGCAATAATGTTATACTGACAATTTTGCAATCTGCTGGTATCTGTGGAAAAAAGATTAACACATAATTATGTTATATGGAATTGTATAATTACAAAATGTTGAACACATGTTTTACAATGGTTTAGTTGCATATATTAAAGCTATAGTTAGAGCTATATAATATTATATTGTTTAATTTTGTATATTACAGCTATTACGCCACTCTATACACACACACACACATACACGCACACGCACGCACGCACGCACGCACGCACGCACGTATATATATAGGCATAATAGCTGTAACTTTATTGCATATACAGGGTGCACGATTTATCTGAAGACATTGAAATATCTCGAGAACTATGCATTGGATAAAAAAAAGTGGTTAATGAAAGTTGTTAGTCTCGAAGGGGGACATCCAATGATACCAAACTCGACCTCCCACCCCACCCCCTGGGGGTGAGGGTTGGGGGCAACTTTGAAATCTTAAATGGAAATCCCCATTTTTTATTGCAGATACAGATTCTACGCCACAAAATACGTAAATTTTGTCCGAAACTTTTTTTTTGATTCGTGATAGATGGCGCTGTAATCGCAAAAAATTATATTTTCCGCAATTCTCCAGAAATGATCATTGGATTGAGAAATAAAAAATACCTGTTCAATATTTTTAAAGAACATAATAAAAGTTATTCCCCCCCATCCTCTCGGGGTAGGGTGGGTGATAACGTTCAAATCTCAAATGAGGACCCACATTTTTCATTGCAGAATTAGATTGTACGTGAAATTTTTATTGAAACAATTTTTTTCATTCATGATAGATAGCGTTGAATTTTTCCGAAAAACTACTTTTAGCGTTACACAGGAACAACGACGAGGACGTAGTAGTTTTATGTTCCCTTCGGATGCTTTTTAAATGTGAGTCGCCTTGCCTCTCACAGATCGGGGTGCTTTTTTAATGTGAGTCCCCTTGCCTCTCACTGTTCAATTAATTAGAGTAAGTGTTCCAAATTTTTACCTTCCACTTCAATACACTTATTGATCCTTTTTTCAAATGACTGTACACAGGATAGGAGCATATCTGCGGGAGTTTCAGCGCAAGCGTTTCTTATGCGTTCTACCATGTTTTCATGAGTTGTTGGCACTTGTTGAAACCTTATCTTTTAGGTAATCCCACAGAAAGAAATCCGGCGTTCTTTAAAATGTTCTTTAAAAATGTTCTTTATGTATGTTCTTTAAAAATATTGAACAGATATTTTTTATTTCTCAATCCAATGATCATTTCTGGAGAATTGCGGAAAATATAATTTTTTGCGATTACAGCGCCATCTATCACGAATAAAAAAAAAGTTTCGGACAAAATTTACGTATTTTGTGGCGTAGAATCCGTATCTGCAATAAAAAATGGGGGTTTCCATTTAAGATTTCAAAGTTGCCCCCAACCCCCACCCCCAAGGGGTGGGGTGGGAGGTCGAGTTTGGTATCATTGGATGTCCCCCTTCGAGACTAACAACTTTCATTAACCACTTTTTTTTATCCAATGCATAGTTCTCGAGATATTTCAATGTCTTCAGATAAATCGTGCACCCTGTATACTATATAACATTGTTATTGCAATATTACAACAGAATGTTGTTGTATGATTGCAGTATAATATTGCTGCAGTATTGCAGTACAATATTGCTGCGCTACTTTAATGAAATATTGCTGCATCATTGCAACGCAATATTACTGCAAGCGGACATTTTAATGTTGCTGCAATATTGCTGCACCATTGCAGCAACATTTTGCAATGATGTTGCAATGATACAATCTTGCAAAACAAGATTGCTGCAATGTTGCTGCAATATTTCTGTGCTGTATATACCTTAAAAAAATAATTTGAGTTTGAAATTTCTAAAAATAACACAATACGTGTTGCGCTTGTACTAGGCGCCCTTTTTTTACCTTTTTGTTTAAAAAGGTAAGTTTTATATATATTATATTAATAATAAAAGACGGCAGGGGTACTTGTTGATTGCAGAGGTGTTTGTAGGAGGCGCTGCAGTTGGATTAGATGATCGATGATAAGTAAGGATTTGATTGGATAGGAAAAGGTATGGTGAGTTTTGGTAAGAAGATAGGGAATTTTAATATGGAGGGACGTTGCACTTACTACACCTATTGTAGACTCGGCCTAAGCGTCCTGGGGTAGCTCAACAGCCGCTTTCAGGCTCCTTTCTGTTTAAATGAATACTTTTGGTCCAAGCAAAGTCCCGATTAAAAAGTTCTTGCAGTTTTCATGTTTGCGGTGTTAGTCAGCGATAATGAAATTTACTCCGCAAGAATATACTGATATGATTGTATCATACGGGATGGCGGGGGAAAATGCAAGTGCTGCGGCACGGATTTATGCCGAACGATTTCCTGGGCGCGCACAATATCCTTCGAGACGCGTAATTTTTCGTGTAGTGCAACAATTACGCGAAACGGGATGCCTCGTACACAACGAAAGGGCATCTGGTGCTGGTGCACCAATGCGTCTTCGTGTGCAAGACGAAGAGAAAATATTAAGAACATTTCACGAAAATCCTGGGATCAGCGTGCGGCGTATGGCACAGGAATTAGGAATCTCGCGGTACGCGGTGCATCACACTTTACGTGCGAACGACTTGCCTCCGACAGAGTTATCAGCGTGTGCAACAACTCCTACTGAAGAATCAATAACAACGGAACAAATAATAATCAAGTGTGAAGGTATTGATATCATCGAATTTTTATATTACGATAAGATAAATGTGAAGGAGACAGGATCCTCCCCTAATTTGTGTGAAACTTTGCAATATTGTGCATTTTAATCTGCAAAACATAAATCTGAAAATAAAAAGTGTCGCTTTTAAGTGAAAGAAAAATTATTAAGTGTTAAAAAGTGGTAGTTCTAAGGTTAAGAAATCTTTCGTACCGACGATATGCAGCAACATGATGATCTATATGCGCATGCTCCGTGATATACGCATGCGAGAAGCGCGAGTTTGAAACGCATGTCCGGATCCACTAGAGAAGGAAGCTCGGAGAAAGTGCGCAGTAGGAGGAGACCGCCGGAAGAGAAGTATTTCCCCTGACGCCGCACGGTATGATGCACCACAGTATATGTATTAAATCTCCTCCAGCGGCACACGGTGCTTGTTTTCGTGCTGGATTGCTTGCTGGATGAAAATACTGCGTTCTGATTGGTACATTTCCGAAGATGAATGGAAATGCACTAATCACAATGCAGTATTTTCATCCAGCAAGCAATCCAGCACGAAAACAAGCACCGTGTGCCGCTGGCTTTATATACAAAGGTTAAGGCTCCTAGTCACTGTGGCCAGAACTCCGCGTTGACAGTAGAGCCGCAATGTAAGCGGTAGGAATGAGAATTTTCTGCTGCGTATTCACCGCATGGTAAACGCGAGTAGGTTCTGTTCCATGCTACGAACGGTATAAGATAAACAAAGACGGACAGCGAGTCTATGTCTGTCCTTGTCTCACTACCGAATAGCTGACGATCGTAGCAGCTGGCAAGAGGCCAGCGCAATGATGCGAATTTGGTGACGGGCTTGCACGAGAACTTCCTCCACGCACACATAGCCGGCTTGATCTATCCGTGTGAGCCACGTGATCGGCAATCGTCGGTTCGCCGAACGAGAGAGAAAATATCATTCCCTCCTCGCTCAGCGAGCGAGCCTAAGAAAAAAAATAAAGCCCCTTGCACAATGTCAGACAACAGGCAATAAGAATAAAAATAGACCAATCACAATAGATTATTCTTGTAATAGTCGATTGTGATTAGTCTATTTTTATTCTTATTGCTTGTTGCCTGGCATTGTGCAAGGGACCTTAGGCTCGCTCGTTGAGCGAGAACGAGAGCGAGAAAGAAGGGATGATATTCTTTCTCTCATTCGGCGAGCCGACGATTGCCGATCGCGTGGCTTACACGGATAGACCGAGCCGGCTGTATGTGCGTGCATGGTGGGGGAAATTCTCGTGCAAGCCCGTCATCAAATTCGCATCATTGATCAGCAGGCACAAGCTGTCGGCGATCTTATATCTAATGATCTCTCTCCTGTTCCTTATTCGAGTGTTGTGGTTCTCGCAGGCAACGTGATACGCGACACGTTATCTGCAATATGCGTACAGCTTTTATAGAAAATGAGATGTCAATATTTTCAGTAATTTGCGTTGCTTAGGACCAATGATACGATTTTAAGCTTGTGCACGCGTTTTCTGTCCACTCTGACACACACAGAGATTCTCAGTCTAATAGTGTAACGGCACACTTACACAGATGCACGGATTGCTTTGTGTGCGTGGAAGTGGGAAAAGACGCTTGTATGCGCGAGCTTGAAATCGTATCTGTCCAAAGTACATAACGTTGGGCGTTATTTAAAAGATTAAAGCCCACGGCCAACAATATATATAAAGATGCGATAACTTAGGTAACGTTAGGATTTTCTTGGAGAGGTGGTGTGGTGGAGAGTCGAAGTCCCTTCTCTGCTCATATGTACTGTATCCTAAAGTAGCCTCTTACAAGTTGTAGGTGTGAAATGTCTTGAAAAATAAAATCGTTCGGTGATTGAAACTTATTTTGTTAATAACATTTAAACAAATGACGAGCGACGGCTTAAACATATTGAATGTTACTCAGGACTGCGTCATTATATTAACAAGGTGTATAATAAGTTCCGGGACCCCTTAACATCTCAGACGGGTTACGTTTTATAAAAAAATGTTAAATATAAATGTTGTAGAGTTTCAAGAGGTCTGTCTATTAATCTTATCAGTTTGACCTCGAGTGACGTTGCCAAGGTAAGACCAAGGTCAACCTAATTTTTTTAAATGGAAATCCTCATTTTTTATTACATCATCTTTTTCTACCAATTAATTTACCGATTATTTACCGATTAATTTCATAAAAGGAATAAAACAGGAATATTACAAGATTTTCTTTCGTGCACACATTTTTCTTAAATAATATATATAAATTATATAGACTATATGACACTTTAATACAAAGCTGGAGACGATCTGCACATTTCGGGCGAAATTAAAGAGGTGACACCCACCGTCTCCTTGCCTCCGCTCCGCGTTCAACGGCCGAGGCGACGATTGCGATGCATTCAGGTCCGTCGCTGTATAAGAAATCAGCTGGAGGGCACCCTCGCGTCATATTATCATTAAAACATTTTGACGACGGACCTGAATGCATCGCGATCGTCGACTCGGCCGTTAAACGTGGAGCGGTGGCAGAGAGAGGGTGTCACCTTTGGAATTTTGCCCGAAATGTGCAGATCATCTCCAGCTCTGTATTAAAGTATCATATAGTCTATATAATTTATATATATTATTTGTTTGGTGTACAAATGAATAATCCAAATTATTTTAAGCAGTTATGAAAACAATTTTAAATTGAATTGACACAAGCGTCTTTTCCCACTTTCCACGCACACAAAGCAATCCGTGCATCTGTGTAAGTGTGCCGTTACACTATTAGACTGAGAATCTCTGTGTGTGTCAGAGTGGACAGAAAACGCGTGCACAAGCTTAAAATCGTATCATTGGTCCTAAGCAACGCAAATTACTGAAAATATTGACATCTCATTTTCTATAAAAGCTGTACGCATATTGCAGATAACGTGTCGCGTATCACGTTGCCTGCGAGAGCCACAACACTCGAATAAGGAACAGGAGAGAGATCATTAGATATAAGATCGCCGACAGCTTGTGCCTGCTGATCAATGATGCGAATTTGATGACGGGCTTGCACGAGAATTTCCCCCACCATGCACGCACATACAGCCGGCTCGGTCTATCCGTGTAAGCCACGCGATCGGCAATCGTCGGCTCGCCGAATGAGAGAAAGAATATCATCCCTTCTTTCTCGCTCTCGTTCTCGCTCAACGAGCGAGCCTAAGGTCCCTTGCACAATGCCAGGCAACAAGCAATAAGAATAAAAATAGACTAATCACAATCGACTATTACAAGAATAATCTATTGTGATTGGTCTATTTTTATTCTTATTGCCTGTTGCCTGGCATTGTGCAAGAGGCTTTAGAGAAAGAATTATGCAGGATTCACACTGCGTCCGATGTCCGACGTACGACGTCCGACGTCTTTGCACTAAGGTGCATTAGTTTAGCATCAGTGCAGCTATAGAGAACAGATCATATATAACAGAGAAGTCAATATAATAGTGAAAGAGTTGTATTTTTGGTAGCAAAATAGATATGTTGACACTGTTGTGAAAGAAAAAAAAATTATTGAAGTTATTATTGATAATATGTATACATCAAAATGTTAAACTAAATAAAAAATATAAAAGAACATGGGTTAGAAAATCTATTCTTGCACGAGAAACCAGAGATGAAGGATCAACTTTAGTACAAGAAATACGTCTTGGAGACTTAATTTGATATTACAATTATATAAGAATGATTCCTGAACATTTTGATGTACTGCTTAACTTAGTTAAGCCTTAATACGAAAGCAAGAAACATATTTTAGGCAACCAATTTCACCAAATATTTGCTTGCTAATAACATTACGGTATAAACTATCCTAATTTTATTTAATATACTCTTATTGTATATATATATATATATATATATATATATATATAAATAAGCATATTTGTACAGCTATTTAGCATCTCTTGCTATGTCATTTCGTTTTGGTAAAAATACTTTATCTGGCATAATAAGAAATACATGTGAAGCTATTTGGAAAGTACTAAAAGATTGTATTTTATTCCAACCATCAGTACATAATTGGAAAAGAATAGCAGATGATTTCTTTAGACAGTGGAACTTCCCACATTGTATTGGAGCTATTGATGGAAAACATGTTGTGATACAAGTAAATTTATTAAATGTTCTTATATTTTACTCATATCAAATTATGACGATGCAAAGACAGCATAATGTAAAAGAACAAAATATTAATGAATATATTCACAGGCTCCAGGACATGCATTTCTAATGGTAGATATTGGTGCACAAGGTCGACATAATGATAGTGGGATCTTTAAAGGATCTATTATGAACTAACGGTTTGAAAATAAAGAAATTTACCACCGTCAAGTCCATTATCAAATTTTAGTAATAGATCTGTTCATGCATCTGTTCATCCATATATGCTTGTGGGAGATGCTGCATTCCAACTCAATGAATACACATTAAGACCATATCTGGCAAATCAATTAGATATAGGAAAAAGAAAGTTTAACTATAGACTAAGCCGAGCACGACGTGTTGTAGAAAACGCGTTTGGTATTATGAATAGTAAATGGAGAATTTACAGAAAACCAATAATTGTGTCACTTGAAACAGTAGAAAGCATTGTTAAAGCAACTGTTTGCATAACTTTTTGCTACCAATGACACATAACACAAATATATTGAATAATATGTGTGGAATTATTGAAAATGAAGGTGCCATAAGAAGTGTCAATCGTATGGGAAGCAATACATATTTGCGATCAGCAGCAAATATTAGAGACAAATTTTGTCGTTACTTTACAAATGAGGGTTTTATTATATAATTTATTTATTATATATTATATAATATATAATATTTATTATATATTATATAAGTTATTATTCTTTAAAGTCTATTAAATATATTGTTATATATTGATAGATGTTATTTTTCATTATACAATAAACGAACATAAAAAGGAATAAACATTCTGCTACAATTAGTATTTATTTCATATACCTGTCATATATTATTATAATTTTTTAAACTTACAAAAGATACAATAAAAAAATAAAATTTAATTTCTTAATAACTCCTAAAACAGTTATATATTAATAATGAAAAAATTAATTTAAATATATTTTTATATTTATATATGTAATAACTAATAATTTACTATAGTAATGGCTGCAAATTATGCATATCACAAACAAAATAAAGTTTCTATTAGTCTCAAACTAAACTTCACTTTCCATTTCTTGATGGAACTGGTTTCTTTCTCTCTCTTTCTCTCTCTTAAATTTGTAGAATATAAATATTTCTTAATTGTCTTGCAACTCAAATATAAGGGATAATATTTTTCTTTGAGATCTTATAAAATTATCGTTAGATAATTGCGTAGTTGTGTTGATAAATAATTTGTAAAAGCAATCACTGAATCAGATAATGCAACATTTAAAGATTCATCCGTTGCCTTTATTTCAGATAATATAGTATATTGAAGCAAGGATAGCGTATCATTCTCTTTGTTCTTACTATTTCCTACTTTCTTCCCTGCTTTATAATATAGATATAAAAATAAATATTATGAAATACACATATATGTATATATATATACATAAACATATGTTATATTGGAATATAAATAAGATGTTGCCAAATATTATTAAATAAACTACTCATACCTGCATTATTCTTTACGGATAAATTATTATTAAGGCTGTTTAAATGCATGTTTTTTGCTTTTCTCGATGTTTCTAAATTTATATTTGAATTAAAATGCATTCGTTTTTTTGAATTATTACAAATTACTGGTATTAAGTTATGTTGCTTGTAGTCATAACTTTTTTCTTCTGAACTCTCCGAAATTTCATTAGAACTTGGGGGGGAGTTAACCTTTGCTTTTCTATAAAAGTATTATTCCCGTTGGCACTGCAACTGTTTTTAGAAGTTGATGGTTGTTCCATGTCTGTGTCACAATTCATATTACTATTACAAGACTGTGGTTTTATATTACTAAATGTCCTGAAAATTAATTAATATTACAATATAATATATCTCTATTAAAATTCGAATAATACTATATGTATAATAATATTAACAAACTTTTTACGTCTCGTAGTAGTGTCGGATAAATCCCATTAATTCAAAATATGGCCATGAATCCACTGTAGGTTTGGCTTCAACTCCACTTCCACTTGGAATATATTTTTTTTGTTCATTTAGTTTTCTAACATAGATGTCACGTAAATTACGCCACTTGGCGTTTGCAACACCAGGATATAAATCTGAAAAGCATTATACATTTAATCTTCAATTTCATAAGACATAACATGCGCGCATACACACACACACACAATAATCATTAAAACACTTACTAAGTTTTTTATCAATCTCTAACCAGTGATATTTTATTATCGATGGTCCACGCTGTATATATTGCTGCGCCCGTGCCTTTGGGGGACATGTTATCCCCACGCTCCTGGGAGTGGACTGCAAAGGAATCGAGTAGAGATTGTTTGACAGCTGTTGTTGTCAAGGAGGTTGTTAAAAAAATAAAAGAAAGAAGAAGAGATGAGAGAGAGTCGCCCTAGTCTTGTCACGACGAACGGACGTATTAAAATGAAGCTTCTTTCGTTTTGTTAATTCCGTGTTATTTTTCTTGCGCAAGGGCGCAACAATATGGTAATGTACTATCCCATAACACTAGCCGTATGAAAACTTCATTAATAAGCTCCTCAATGTTTTCAACTGTTGTATGAAGTATTTCATTATCATTCTTTTCTATGCAGATATGAAATTCAGATACTGTATTGCCACAGTCTGCGCACAGCTATAATAAAAATATAACATGCTTATATATAATTTTATTATTTACTAATATGTAAATTATTTAATTAATAATATATAAATAAAATAAAACAAACATTAAACATAATCTAATCTAAATAATTATCTTTATATATTATATATTATAAGTTTAAAATGCACAATTTTAAACTAAAATTATGCTAAAATTATATTTTATATCATTTGCATAATTAATTATTATTTTATAATTATAATTTTGCATTAAAAAATATGTATATTTCGTCACTGTTATGAAAAAATCTCTTATGTACGTTTTTTTGGTTAATTAAAGATATATTTTTGTGATTATATATAGAATTGAATTCTAGATCATAATAAGTATCTTCAATTAACTAGAACATGCACATAGTAGGTTTTCCCATGATAGCAACAATATATTTTTACTTACTATATCATCCATTATATCCATTATGTCTATACTATTTTTTATATAATACGATATGATTTATCATATCCAAAAGTTGGATTCAGACGAACTTTTTCGTACGATGAAAATTATTGGTGTTATCACGTAAAGTAGAAGAGAGAAAACTCTCTCTATGTTTTCTCTATATTCATTGCCAGTGTAATCTATCTTCGTTCATCTTTTTATAAACAATAAGGACAGAATAATGTTGCTAATACTGGCAATATATTGAACGTCGGACGTCGTACGTCGGACATCGGACGTAGTGTGAATCCTCCATTAGGCTCGCTCGCTGAGCGAAAACGAAAGAGAGAAGGAGAGAATGATATTCTCTCTCTCGTTCGGCGAGCCGACGATTGTCGATCGCGTGGCTCACACGAATAGACCGAGCCGCCTGTGTGTGCGTGCATGGTTCTCGTGCAAGCCCGTCACTAAATTCGCATCACTCCTGCTAATGCCATGGTCAGCTGGCTAATAGTGAGACAGACAGACAGAGATTCGTTGTTGATCTTTGTCTAATTCATCTTACCTATGGATACAGCACGTAAAAAAACCCTAGATTACCGATATGTTACGTACAGTTAGGGTGACCATATCCCAGTCATAAAAAAGAGTAAAAGACGGGTAAAAAAAGTGTATAAAAGAGTACTAATTACGGTCCCGAAAGAGTAAGTAGTAACACAAAATCATATAAAAGTCAAGGTGACGTCGAATAATATAAAAATGATGTCATTTTGACGTCAATATAATTTTATGTTTTATCTGGGACAGTGATTAATGGATTACTAGGTATAATATTTAAAATAAAACATAGTGGGTACTAAATAAACCGATAAATATTAGTCGAACACATATATCTTATTATATTATTAAGATATTTTATAATTATATTTTGCACTCCGTACATCGTACAATTTCGGTTTTCACTGTGTCGTTACCAAAGAGCGGATATCAGCGCCGTTTTCCGCACTCACAACGCCAGAGCGCTACGCGCTAGTGTCGATCGTGCTGCACGATTTATACGAGGGCAGTTTGAAAAGTTCTCGGCCTAACAATGAAAGCAAATTTTTTTGCCGTGAAATGTTTCATTTTTCAATATAATCTCCTGAAATTTCAATACATTTATTCCAACGTTTTTCCAATAATTCAATATTAAAGTGTGATTTCGGAAGGTATTTTTCACTCTGGTGTGTAGTGATGGATCCAAGTTTCATCAACAGTTATGAAACGACGCTTGAAATCCATTTTATTTTGCTTAAAACGATCCAAACACGCTTGAAAAATACGCATTCGAAACCGTTTTTGGTCAATTGTTAGCAAATGCGGCACCCATCTTGCACAAAATTTTTTCTACTGGTATTTTTTCTACTACTCGAATGACTTGACAGATCGAATAAAATTTTACATAGGTTTATATCAGAGATGCCACTTTCCAATACAGTTATAGTTTGACAGTTTCTAATGCCATGTATGTGTCAGGTCAAGAACTTTTCAGACTGCCTATGTAGTAACTAGCGGGGCACCGTTGTGCAGAACCTCTAGGCATAATCGGTATTGGTGCTCGAAGCGCTCAAATGCTATGAGTGATGAAAACGTCACCGAAGTCTGCTCTCTGGTCATTATCAATAAAGTATAATTAACATTACGAAAAAAGAGTACATACAAGAGTACGATACGTAAAAAATAGAGAGGACTCTTTTTGCCACTTTAAAAAGAGTACATATACTCTTAAAAGAGTACATATACTCTTAAAAGAGTACATATGGTCACCCTACATACAGTGCCTCTCGCAGAACGCTGAACTAAAAAGCGTGAAAAAGTGACATGTTGACGGCACGATTTATTCTTGCGTGCCATTTTTTTATTATTCGCTGTAGTGAACTTCTGTGACGTGTGACATATTGAGGAAACCTGTAAGAAATTTCGAGTTCTTGGTTTTTTATGAAATACGATATGTGGGAGCATAATTTCTACTCGTTTGATCAGCTGTTCGACCACGCGTTTTCTCGCGTGAGTAGGCCTCTTTTCATAGCCCATTTTACGACTCTGTGTTAACTGTTGAAGCAAAAGGGGAGAATTCGGAATTTTTTACAAATGTGCTGAAACAATTTCGTGTCTTAGTTTGGAGGAATATCATTTTATTTTGAAATGGCACGCAAGAATTCTCAGCGTGGTATTTCTCGCCTATGACGTCACAATTCCAATTATGGCCGCGGTGACTACCCAGGGGCTTTAAGATTATTAGAATTAGATTGTGACAAAAACTGAATTTAGTATATATAATAACGTAAGATGTTTATCTTGCGCAGAGGCTTGGCTAATTTATTCAAGATGTTATTTTAGTATACTCCTAAGTAGCAATAGAGAAATTTTAACTATTGCTCATTGTTTATTAAAAAATTATTAAAAAAAGAAGTTTCATAAGTAGAGCCTATTTTTATAGATAGAACCTATTTTTCCACAATATGTATTATTGTTACTTTAGTATACTTCCTTAACATTCAATATATATGTAGTGTATATATATATAATAACTTCTGAATAAACAATGAGCAGTGGTTAAAACCTCTTGATTATTATTTAGGAATTATATTAAAATAATATTAATGTACATTGTGGAAAAATAGTCTCTATCTATGAAACTTCTTTTGACTGTAATACACAATATTGTCACGTGTTATATGTCATTTCACATAGTATTACTTTTTCGGTGAAATAATTATAGAATTAATAGGTATGTTCATAATATGTCCATCTTGCATAGAGGTCTTGCTAATTTTTCAGTATATTCTTTTTTTAGTTATTGTTTTAGTTAGTTACTGTAGACTCATCCGTTTAAGCGAAGATTTAATAAATATATTTATTTTCATACTTTCTCTTTTAGAATGTTTTTTGACTGACAGGGAAAGGGTTTGTTCTCTTACTCTCCTCCCCACTGGGGACTTCTTGAATTTATATAAATCTTATAGATCTATTACCCATACGACACAGAAGGTTGTAGCAACATAGCAGAAACATTGCAATATTGTACATTGCAGTGCAATGTTGCAAAGATATGGTATATATATGAGTTTGCAATATTGTTCGAACAATGTTACAGTAACATTTCAAAATATTGTAAAAATAATGGTCTATGCTTGTGTGTGTATGTGTGTGTTATTTGGAGTAAATAGACAATAAATGATAAATACTTAGTCATTATTATAACAAGGATTACTTCTATAATTCTCAACTTTACATGCATAAGGTCGAAAATAGTACAATCATTTGTGATTCGTCGTTCGAGCAGCGAAGTTGACGTAATCACGCATGTACAGGAAAGTGTCGTTGGTAGGAAACTTCGCGCCTTCTCGCAATATTGAGATAACACATGCCCGACGAAATATATAAAATTTCATCAAAATAAACAGTATTTAGTGAAAAATATTGAAAGGGAAAGGAAGCATAGAGAATGTAAATGTAATTATTATTCTTTTTACTTTGTGCTTATAAACATAAATTTAATGGAACTCAAACTCTTAATTACAATACGGCCATTTCTGCAATATTCTAATTACGTTTAATTATTTACAGGCTATGTGCCACTATTGCTACTCTCTATATTTCCCACCAGTACGAGCTAGCTCTGCCTTACGACTGACTTCTATGATTGTTCTCCATCGAGTCCCCCACTGATAGAAAAATATAGTTAAATTAACTATAATCTCACTATATTTTATAGTTCATTTTGGCATCAACCATATTTTTATAGTTCGTGAAACCTGCAAAATATAGTAGAATAAACACAAATATATAGTCAATGATTGTTTTAAATAATTGTTTAGTTACTTTTACCACAGATATGGTAATTTCTCATTCACAAATATAGTGAGATTTAATATTCATATAGTTACATCTGTCATCATTTAGCAGGTATTCTGGTAATATTGACTATATAAAAGAGTTACTTTTACCTATCATTTTATATTTGTATCCATACAATAATTTTAGTTTAACTTACTATAATTCTTAGTAAAAATATTATATGGTTGGTTATATTATGCCTATATCGTAATTATTACCGATATTATGGTAATACTTAGTATAAATATGATATTTCGGACTATAATTTAGTTACTATATCATTATAGTTCCAAATATCATATACTTTTCTCTCAGTGCCTATTCTCTCTCTTTGTGT